AAATATGGAAGAGACGTCGCTACATATAACGTTTTGATCTAGTGCCTCAAATGTATAACTATAATTGTTATGAAACACTCTAACATCATAGCAATCATGTTTTTGCGCTAATTGGTTTCCTCCAAACAATCCATGTACTAGATTAATCTGTCGTTTACTAGGATAACCCAAAAGTTTAGCTGTAGATTTCAAAATGTACGTTTTTTGCGATCCGGTATCTATAAGAGCACGTACAACTCGCGACTTGTCTAAATAGTTTATTTCAATACGCAGAGTTTGCAAAAAAACATTCGTATTAGCACTATTAGCGAGCGTCTGTTCAATTCTTGGCACGGCAATGCCATCGTTTTCTTTCTGCTCTTCTGTGTCCTGCTTTACCCGGTGTCTTGAAAGTTCAGTGCACATTAAAGGTACATGCGATTTAGAGCAAATTAAACAACTTAATTGACTGCGACATTTTCGAGACTGATGCCCAATTTTCAAACAACGAAAACACGCGCCTTTTTCTGTCAAAATATTTTTCCTTTGGTCATAAGTTAATTTCTGTGCTTTAAAACAGTGGCTGCTTTCATGCGAATTCTGACAAAAAACACATTTATAGATGGTGTGAGAATTAACTAAACCCATCGCGGAAGGAGACTTGTGCTTGTTTTCCTCGTGTCTCCTTGTTTTTGGGCCTGTAGATTTAAAATCTTCGGTTTTAGCAGCATGCAAATGGAAATTCTCGACTGCTAAAGAAAGGTGCTGCTCATTATCAACTTCCTTTTTCAAGAACAACATTAAACTCTGAAGTCGATTTTCGATGCTCGCGATGCCGGCAGAATTAAGTGACGCTTGTGATCCGATACTTTCTGGCAATCGTTGCCAAACTCTTAATAAATCTGAAGGTAGACAGGATTCAACTAAAGGAAATAACATAGCCGCGTATTTATCCGACTTAATACCGAGTGTTTCCAGAACCCTCAACTGAGTCTCTAATTTGTCGTATAACAAGGATAGATCTAATTTATTGCCAGACGCAGTATTATTTATTACTAATTTAAGTAATTCCCGTACATAAACTTCGATCTGCAAGTCATCCCGACCGAAACGCGAAATAAGACAGTCAATCATAGCATCATAATTACTTCCAGTGGCGGGAAAACTATCCACTAGTTGCCTAGCTCTACTACCCGGTATAGTAGCTTGAATCAAATATTCGACCTTGTCGTTCGGATCTATGTCAGGATCATGATGAACTTTTTGAAATTGTGACCAAAAAGGCAACCAGTTTTTAATATTCCCGTCGAATTTTTTGAACTCTAATGTAGGTAATTTAAATTTTCGCTTACCGTGTCTGCTGTCTAAACTACTCCTATCATCAGATATCCTAGAAGCTACCTCACCTTCCACTGCACCTGTCACTATTGACTGCATACGGTCTTCGAACTGCATACTGAGATCCAAAAACTTCTTGCTATAGTTGTCACTACACTCAATTTCTGCTAAAAGGTCTTCTTCACTAGCGTCTTCACTTAGTAATAGACCGTAGATTTCTTCATCACTTTTCCTTAGGTCTTCAATTTTTTGGCGTAATAGATCCAAGGAAACTTTAATTGATCGTATCTCACCCTCCGGCGCCGACAAAAGCTTATCCATTTCATTCGCCGTCCTCGTGAAGGTGCTACGGAGCACTTTGCGATGTTTCTTCTTTTGATCCATTTTTCTCTGCAAACTTGGTCAAAACCACACACGTTTACCGAAAGTTACAGGCGAAACGCGATAAAGTTTGTCCGGTGATCGTCAATTCAATTTTGTTACACCTCGTATACAACCACGATTAATTTTATGGAAACAGTCCTGTCACGGTCGCCAAATATGTCAAGTGTGTACCAACGCAATTCTACCCGAATTTGCGTATAAAATACACGGTTCGTATATTACAAAATTAAACTTCAAAATTATTGAAAATCTATATTTGCCAGTTCCCAACAAAACATATCGCGTGCTTTTAAAAAATGATGTAACAAAATTATCACTTATAAGCATCAATCTGTACATACACAAAATTAAAAAATATATTACGCCACGGATACCGACCGTTCAGCGCTCAGATTCTTCGTCAACTGTAAGAAACTCATCAATTTTTATTACACCACTTACGCGTTAAAATAAAGAAAATAAATTGAAGTGATGGCGATAAAATATAAGAATTATTGCCGACAAGTGGAAAGATTGTTATGATTTAAAAAGGTTTTATAGCTAAAGCTTTCTTTGAATTTTAATAAGAGATTTTGTAACTTCAGCATTCAACATAATAATATATGTGCATACAAACAAAATAATTATCAAATGGCTGTGACAGTAGATCATTTAGGCGGGTTGCTAGTAGCACAGTATTGTTGGTGTAGCGGAAATTGTAGACGTATTGTATGTCTGGCGTAAGGTGCCATCATAGGCCAAACGGCAGTCTTGGTAAGAAGATGATATGAAATCTGCGCTGGAAGAAGTAAGATACAAACATAGGGGTAAAAACGTGATGCAAAAACTTAAAATGTCCCTGCAAACACGTTACGCAGAAGATTTCATGACAAAAATCGTTTTGCTACAGATTTCAATAAAGGTTATTTGGGTGGTAAGCATCCTACCATTGGCAAGAAATACTGGTCATCCATTAGGGTTCGTTTTTTTTTTGTTTAAACAGGGTAGAACTTGCATTTGAAATAGCGAGCCAATCATTTACCACATACTTTTAATAAAACGAAAATTTATACGTCCCTCTATCTCTAAAGAAATCCCTCTATCTCTCTTATTAATAAACACGGACTAACCTTGGACTAACATTAGTCCCAGGACTACACCAATAACATTCATTTTTCGTATTAATAAACAGCGTCTAAGGACAGACTAAGCTAAACCTTGGCTAGTCTCGGACTAACATTTAATCCGAGATAGTGGCAGGTTTAGAGAGTGACTAACTGCTAACTGGACAATTGACATTGAGTTGAGTTTCGTTTTTGTATTCCTAACCTGAGTTGTTTTTGATTATTCATACATTATTTAATAATGGAAGATTATTTTATCAACGACTTAAGATTAATAGAACAACTTAATGACCATAGAAATCAGTGAAATAATATTCATCTAAGACATATTAAAATATATAAAATTTGGAAAATATTTTACAATTCATTATGTTTATTAGTATTTTTTATATTTTTCTTTTGTAATAAAATATTTTTTAAAGTTTCCTCCTGAACTTTTATGAAGTTTAAACTTTTCAGATAAAAAAATACTATAAAATATACAATCGAGCAAAAAGATAAAAGAGGGAATGTAAAGGTAGTGGGGGCATAAATATTGTTAGACAGGAAGTGCTATCTTGAGAGGCCACTTTAAACAAGGAAAGATAGTCTTTCCTTGTTTGAGAAGTCAAATTTAGTTTGGTTATGTTATTGTTTGTCCCAACTGTCACATGAAATTTTATTTATATTGAAGTTTTTTACCAATTGTGTCACGTTTTAGACTATTATAGTTAATATTTAATTAAAACTTTCTCGTCTGAAAAATATTTTATAGCTATTTGTTAATAAGTGTTGGAAAATTTAAATTTAGCTCCTTTGGATTTCCGGATATGTCCGCCATCAGAGGCCACTTTTTTGGTCTCCTTTTCATAACGATTAGATTCCCTCTTTTATCTTTTTGCTCGATGGGACGGACTGTAAACAAACTTTCTCAGAACACAGTCCAACTAAAATTAACTCTACGTGCTCCAATTGTCCAATTTATGGTAACTGTCAAATTCTCAAATATTTTTCTTCTTTTTCACAAAATTCTCTCTATTTTTCTTCTTTTTCGCAATGGTTGCCAACATAAACTTGTTGTACCTAGGACTAAGGAAGGTTTAGTTAGTCTCATGATACTATGAATAACAAGATAGGATCTTCCCGTAGCTCAAAATCGGTCGGGTTCGCGCATGCCGTCATTGGAGACTAGAATTTGAATTCTTGTTAAAGTTAAATGAGATTTGTATGCATTCTGTGATGAAATTACTAGACGAAAATAAGTTAAGAGGTTTAATAATTACAATAATCGTACACATAAGGATATCTCCAAACTATTTATTAAAGATTATTTATTGATATATACAAAAACTGACATTTCGAACGTGCAAGTCTCCAATGACGTCACAAAAACATGCGCAATATCATATCTTATAGTCATAGTATCATGGTTAGTCTGAGCTTAGTACATGTTTATTAATAACATTCTGAAAATGAAGTTAGTACTCGCTTAATCTGGGACTAACTAGTCCGAGACTAACTTCGGACTAAGCAATTTTTATTAATAAGCCTGTATAAGTTTGCGACTACCAGAAAAAACTTCATTAGCTACGGCACAAGCGTTTAATAAACCAAAAATTATGGAATTTTTTTCAACGTTGACAAAGGTTACTGACGACAATAATCTTCCTCCGTTCCATGATGAACGGCATTTGGAATGCAATTTTTAGACTCCCTTGCCGATGCATTCATCAAGCTGTTTGCTTCGCAAGTCTTAGGGAGGTAGAAATCGTATGATTTCTCTTTTTGTTCTTAGATGGCGTAGTTACGTCCGTAAATAGTTATTTTTAATAACTATAATCTACGACGGGAAAATATTTTGGTTTGATATGGAGTAGTAACTATACCGTACTGAGGAGATCTAAAGAGATCGAAATACGTATATGCGGCTTGTTGCTGATCTGTATCAAATCAAAATATAATACCGTCATTTGATTTGAATTATATTATTGTTTTCTATTTATGTTTACCCTTTACGTGTAGGTACCTATTAATTTGTCTTTGTCAATTTGGTACTTATTTTTTTCAAGAGGTTAATGAATGAAATAAAGTAAAAATCACTGTGCTCAACATTTATATTTATATTTTTATATGTATAATACTGTCGAAAATCGAGACTCAATAGTACAGTATATATCAGTTCTTTGAAACAAAAAAATAATAATAAATAAAAAAAAATTAAGATTGAGGTAGCAATTCAGATGCCTCAGGGTAGGTAACTTGGAATAAGTATTGTACATAGTTGGTCGTACTGCTTAAAAATCTATAGAAGCCTTCGGGTTTATTCCTCCATTTTACGCAAAGATAGTACACTGGAACACCTAAAAATATGCAAATAAATTAACATTAAAATAAAACAAACATTAGTAGTGAAGTATGGATTTAGATAGGACTTACACAGGGAGACAGACTCCCATGTCTTCTATTCAATATTGCACTAGAAAAAGCGATAAGAGAATCTAATAACAACCAGAGAAACTCTTATTAATCGCAGCGTATAATTACTAGCGTACGCCGATGACATCGACATTATTGCAAGAAGAAAAGCGGACGTGGTCGAATCATTCAAGGCACTTGAAGCAGCAACAAAAAGAATGGGACTAGAGGTTAACACTAGTAAGACGAAGTATATGAAAGTATCAAATTATATACAAGCAGCACAACCCGAAGATCTAACGAAAGGAACAAATACTTTCGAAGGAGTAAGAGAGTTTATATACCTAGGCTCACAAATTAATCAGAATAATGCAGTAAGAGCAGAAATTAACAGACGGATATATCTGGCAAATAGAGCCTATTAGGGATTAAGAAAATTTTCAACAACAAGCCTAGTACCAAAAAGAACGAAACTAGTGATATACAGAACTCTTGTCAAGCCCATCCTCACCTACACGTCGGAAACATTGACGATGACAAAGAGTGATGAAGAACGTTTAAGATGCTTTGAACATAAAATCCTCCGGCATATCTATGGAGGAGTACAGGAGGGCAGATTACGCGATTACGGCGGAACTTTACCGCCTGTATGACAAACCTGATATTATTAGGTCCATCAAAATAAACCGGCTGCGGTGGTTAGGTTACATAGAGAGAATGAATGGGATGGAGCCGCCAAACATATTTATAACCAAAGAATAGATGGAGTTAGGAGAAGAAGCAGACCCAGAGCAGGATTTAATCATCAGGTGGAGGAAGACTTGAGAATGTTGGGAGTACGAAACTGGAAAGCCAAGGCGAAGAATAGGAGAGAATGGACACTTATCCTTGAGCACGCCAAGATCCACCATGGGTTGTGGCGCCAATGATGATGATGAAAAGATTGTTTGTTTTGGTTCACTGGGTTTTTTGTTATATAGATAATTTCTTTTTTTAAAGCAATTTTTATATAAGTACAAATTTAGCCATTTTGTATTTTTCTTGTAGTTATATTTATTTTACAGCTTTTATTTTCTTAAATATTAATTTGTGTACTTTTTATACCGCGTAGGATTCCTATTCTTGTAAAATTCTCATGCTGTGATATCTCCGGTGCCATTAACTTTCTAGAAAATGCCTATATATTAAGCATATTGCTTCAGATGCCATCTACTGCACAACCAAAGAAATTTTTTCTGATATTCCCCCCATTTTCTTCTTAAGCTTAAATTTTTTTCTTTCTCTATCCTGAGGTCCTTAAGTTTTGTTTATGTCTGCTTTTATGTTGTTTTCTTTTCTGCATTCTCTTCAGTGGACTTTTGCTAGTCTGAGTATAGATACAACCATGGATTTGTTTTTACTGATTTAATATAATTTGTAAAGAGGTGGTCTAAAATCACATACTCTGATTTTTAACTATGTAGACGTTATCGATTGGAGAGTTCTATGTATACTCTTCAGGTAGTAATTTCAAAAAAGTGTTCATTGTTGAGTATTTTGCGTCGAGACAAAAGTGAATCAGACGTTCTTTTCATGTTGGCTTACTGTTAATTCTAAGAACTACAATTTTAATTCAAGTGTGTACAGAATGAATGAAGAATAATCTTCTTCTTGTAGGACATGGTTCTGTTTATTCCATCATTCCAGCTCTTGTGATGTTGATGTTCAACTGTCATACCACTTTTTAGGGGGTTTTCTTAGTAGTCTTTTTATATTGAGTTTATGTGTTTTGCTCATTTCGCCTTCCTGCGTCCTTTCTGCATGATCCCTCCATTTGCAGCGACCTAGTGGTATCCATTACCTCACATCCTGGACTACAGTTTCTCTTAAAGTATCTATTTATTCTATCTCTGAAAAATTATGGTTCCTAACACTTTCATTTCTGTAGTTCATATCAATCTTTTTGTAAGCGATGTTATAGCTCTTGAGTATTTTTTTACAATGTTAAAAAATGTATACCAAACAATAATATACAGTTTTCTTACCTGATAAAGTGATTCCCAATCCAATGACTGTATTCCATGGCTGCGTTGGTATGGGAAATATAATTATAAATGCACAACAGAGCAAAAATAATATAGGTATAGCAGTATGTACTTGAATCGGCCTGGGTAGTTCAGGTCTTTTGTAACGGAGCCACAACATGCCAACCACACTTGCGGCACTTGAAAGCCACAATATTTGGCCGTAGTAATTAATCAGAACGAAGACGTCGCTGATAAACAGCATCAGCAAAGATGTAAAGCACTAAAACAAAAAAAATTGTAAGATAAAACTCTGCATTAAACAAGATATTGGCAATAATTACAGAGATAAATTCCGTACCGAGATAAATTCAATTAGTGGCTATCTTAATACACTCCCAGACAAATATCACATATTTTATTTTTTATTTTCTTTTCTTTTCAATTTTTGAGATTTATATTTCTAAATATTGTTTATTAGAGTGTTTTACGTATTTTACAATTTATTACATATAGAGACCGATGCACACAATCTCCACGTGAGATGACCGTGGCCTAAAATCGCTCGTGTAGAATGTCCCATGTGGCACGTAGCGTATTTCTGTTGAATTCTCATGTTGTTTTCCATATAATCTAAATCAGATCAAACAATGTTGGTAATCATTGACCTATAGCGTTCGCCGTTGACGATTATGGTTTTCAGAAAGAAATTGCCAATGTCGTTTTCAAACACATGCTTGTGACGTTGTCCGATGTCTATTTTCCATGAGATTCGATCATTCTCTTGGCCCTCTCTTGTGTTCATTGCGTTAGTCATTCCTTCTTTCCAGGTCTTCCTCGTCTTCTGCAGTTTGGTGGAACTCACTCCATAATCTTTTTCGGGATCTATTTTCCATCTTTAGTATCCATCTTTCCAATAATATCAATTTAATAAAAATACTATGTACGCCCTTTCAGAATGTCATTTATTTTGCTCCAAACACTTAAAAATTTTTAATACGATTTTAAGTATAGTCTTCGTGGATACTTATTTAGTAATAATACTAATTTTTGAATATAAATATTACCTGGGTGACTTTTGCAACGACCTTGAAAATAAGCCTTTATAAAAATGACCCTTACTTAGAGCCCCTTAAGTTTTTCCGTTAGTCTTGTAAATTTTAATTTAAATATGCCTAATCAATATAGGTTTAAAATTTCATCAAAATCGGAACAAAACTAAAAAAGTATTTAAGATCAAAATGGGTTCCAAATAAAATTGGCTCACTGTGTATATGATCTATGTCGATAGTTATTATAGAGTTAGATATAGGGATTGACTCCGTATATAAATAAATAAAAAAATATTGTAAAAACCACTTTGACAGTTGACAATTTCGAGTAGAAAACAATGTAGGTACAATAGTACAATAATTATACAGAAATGCTCGTAAATTATTATTTCCGTCGACCGTCCATTTTATGATCAATTTTAACACCCTCAAAATAATTGATAATGAGAATATTTTGTTTGACGGATTGTTCGGTTCGGCGCCGAGACTGTGACGAGACGTGACTGATGTGTTTGAATCGACCTTTAATAGAAATATGCCGCCGGCATTCACATCAGTTTACGAACAGTTTCCCAGCTGTCAGATAATTAATAGTTCTGTCACCGTCTGTGACCAAACAGGACCGGTTCGGCGCCGGGACTGATGTGTTTGAATCGACCTTTATAAATGATTTTCTATTAATGAACGATTTCATTATAGGCAACACAACATACATTGCTTGCATAAATTAATTAAATGCTCTATGATTGGCAGTGACCTGTGGTGTAGGCAACCAAACATATACCAATTTATATTCCCACTAAAATATTTAAAATGAAATAGCCGCTGTTAGTACTATCTGTCATTGTATGTCAGTATTTACTTTATTGTTTAAAATTCAATTCTGTGTATTTAAAAAACCAAAAGATGGATATTGACGAACAGTTTAATTTAACTCCACCAGAAGTGGCAAACACTGCAAATGAAATATCTTTAAGTTTACTGCCTGAAAGAAGCAGTGTTGTACGAAAAAACATACGCTGCATTTATTGGATGGTGTGACGAGAGAAAAATAATACGATATTCAGAATCTATATTGTTGACATATTTTTCAAACATTGCCGAAAAAGGACTAATAGCAAGTTTGTGGCCCAAATATTGGATGCTAAAATCAAGCTCATGTTTAAAATCAAACATTGATATACCTAAATATAATAAGTTAATTATGTTTATCAAGAGAAAAATAACAGGTTGTGTACGAAAGAAATCAAAAACACTTGAAAAATAACAAGTCCAGAAGTTCATCTCTGATGCTCCTAACGACGTGTTTCTAATGATAAAGGTAAAAAAGTAAATTAAGTTTATATTAATATTTAATACTCTTATTTAATAGCATTTCATTTTGTAGGTTGCATTGATTTTCGAGTGGCTAGTGCGTTAAGAAACGACGAACTATTGAAATTAGAAACAAATAACGTTCAAGACTTGGAGTCAAAATCTCTTGTCACAATAAAAGTACCAAAAACACACACACATAGAATATTTGCCATAGTAGATAACGAAGCAAATACCATTCTCAATGCGATCAAAAACTATATTTCTTCAAAACCGGCATACACACCACATAAACCATTTTTCATTTTTTATACAAATAACAAATGTTCCACAGAGCCAGATGGCATAAATACGTTTTCCAAAATTCCTACCGTTATTGCTAAATTCTTAAAATTAGAGCACCGGCGTCTCTACACTGGGCATTGTTTTAGACGTTCCTCTGCCTCAATACTGTGTGACAGTGGTGCAGACTTTTCAACTATTAACAGACTAGGTGGCTGGAAATCGACTGCTGTAGCAGAAGGTTATATAGATGATTCTATGCACAATAAACTTGAGACGGCTGAAAAACTCTTGGGACAAAAGACCACAAACCTTGTCAAAGTACTTCCTTCAACACCACCGCTTCTTCTTCTTATCAATACCTTCCTTTATTTTCAGTAATTGTACTATTTCGAACATTAATGTTTACAATAATAAAAGTACCACTAAGGAAAATTAATCTTTGAATAAAATTAATGAAAGCTGAAAAAATTGTTGTTTATCGTTAAGTAAATAAAAATTTAAACTAAGATATCTTTATTTCTGAAAAGTACGGTCAACGGAAAAGTTTTGTAACGACTGGTGAATTAAAATGGCGATTAACAATCTCGAACTCAAACATTAACGTGCTCGCTCCGCTCACGCGTTAAAATATCAATTGTTAATCGTCTTTATTAATACACTTGTTGTTTAAATAACTATTAATCCACTTAATATTATTATTAAAATTTACAAATTTTTGTACCAATATATGGGTATTCCATGAACTGGATCATGGACGTATAAACACAGATGGACTCAGTTATTTACATAAAATTGTGAAGTCAAAATTATTTGAATAGGTCACATTCTCAGCACCTTCAACTGTTGTCACGTTTTGTTTTAAAATTTCTTATTCGCGAGTCGCTGAAAATATTACTCCGTATTTTATACTCTACAGGTGCTATCAAACCAAAATAATAATTTATTGGTTAGATTAATATATTTAATTGTAATCAAAATATAAAGTGTGGACATAGTGTGCATTATCATTTAATAATAGCCTATAATACATATCAATCAATTATTTTATATGTAGAAGCACTGAAAACTATTTATAAATGGCAACGGTTGTTTACATTTCTCTGTCTTATGGATCTACGTCAAACTTCAAATGCTGTTCCATGTTTGTTTACTTTTTAGTAAAAGTTGTTTTTCGATATTTTGGCTGTATTTTGAGTGATATTTGTGAAAAGTGAAATAAAATAAACGAAATATTTACATCCCGCTCTCATTTCATTTGTAAGTACATACAATTTACATTATTTAAGATGAGGAAATGAGGAAGCGTGTTTGTTTACATTTTAATAGGCGTACCATTGGGTTTATTCATGTTCATTAATGTATTGAATAAGATACAAGTTCATGAAATTAGTAGACATTTTTAAATTGTAAGTAGACATCATCTGATTAAAAAAGAACTGTTTATTACCTTTTTAATTTATTATTTCTCATGGATGCAAATCAATTAGTTAAATGAATAAAACTCATTTATTTTTCTATGTAGGTTTCCAAATAATATTGACGATCGAACTATTTTGGTAGCAAATTTAGGAGAAAACATAAAGATTTTTTATTGTAGCATTATTTTCATACCTATTAAAAATTAACTTGAATTCAACTATATTTTATTGTATTAATTTTAAAGCAAATAAAATTGTATTTTAATTTTTCTATAAAGACGTGATTTGTTAATAGTTAAACTCTCGTTTTTTTAAATTCTTTGAACGTGTTTTTATACATTATTACTACTTCCAATTTTTAAAATCTGAATAATTACCCGCGAGTAAAAATTCAAGCACGCTTATGCTCATTGCGGAAACATCACATTCTATCGAAGCTTCAAAACATTGTGTATTAAAGGTATCTTATTGCTGTGTCCATCTATGTTTATACATCCATGAACTGGATGATAAATGTTTAGGTACTTTAAATAAATATAAAATAAACAAAATAACTTCAATCTAATACATAAAAAGCACTTACTGTAAAGATTAAACTAGGTATTGGAGTACTTCTTTTTACATGAATATATGAGAATAGTTGTGGTAAGTGTCCCTCTTGAGATCCAGTCAAAAAAAGTCGCGAAGAAGTAAATAAAATTCCATTTACACCTCCAAAAGTTGAAAGAGCGACAAAAATGGGCACTAACCATTGGACGCCGCTAAATATTTTTATTCCAAATGACTAAAAATAAAGACAGTTAGATAAATGTTTGTTGTTTATACCAGATGTATCAAAATTTATGCATGTATTTTTGGAAACGCTTATAAATCAACTCTTAATATTAAAATATTTTCCGATTCTTTTTCGTTTTTATTTTATGTCTTATTTATTTTGCGAAAGAGTTCAATTTACACAAAATATAACAGAAAAATGCAAAAACGCACTAATATAGTAATAAAACAATACAAAAAACATACCAAAGCAACTGCAGTGGAACTTTCTATTTCAACTGCCGAAAGAACAGCAAAATATGCTACATTTGCTAGTACATAAATACCGGTTACTGTAGGAAGTGCAATCCATATTGCTCTTGGTAAATTCCTAAAACAAAAATTGTGTCATTAATCTTGAGAAATTTTAGACTTACGTTAGGTGCACAAACATCGAATTTGGACGTGGGTAAAAGTTCGATCGAACAAATTCCTTTGGTGGCGCGAAGAAACAATGTGAGCGTATAGTCCTACCAGAGATCTTAGAGAGTCATTAATATTTATTATCAATAAGTGTCTACTGCAAGGCAGCGGGGGATCAGCTCTGGACAGGATCGAACTTTTATTTTCGATTTGCATTACTTATTCAATTGTTAGGTGTGTTTAAGAGCCGGTCTTTATCATTGTCTACTAAAGTTATAACAGTTGCAAAAATATTTACATACACTACATTCACATATTTGCAAAACTTTATTATTTTTAAATAGAGTACAAAAAGAACAGAGGCAAAAATATTTTAGAAAATTATCCGTCCTCTATATTTGTAGACGAGCAGATTCCATAATCTCTTGGCGTTTATCGATCGTTTTTATTTTAAAGCCGTTATTTAGAAGACACTGCTTTACTGTCTCACTGCAGCACTTGATTCATGTGTCATCTTTCTGCAACTTTTGCATGATGGTTTTTAACGTGAGGACCATCTGTTTTTTGCAAATTTTTCTTCTAATGATCTCTACATCACTCCGATCTAGTTTCCTACACAAACCAGCGCCTTTTCTTTTTCTTCTACTTACTATCGGTTGTTTTGTTATTGACCACATTGTCTTATTAATTTATTTAAATTTAAATTAATTAATTATTTACAGGTTCTGAAATTTGTATTTTTGATTAAACAGTGAGATAAAAAATATATTGTAATACATAAAATTTAACGCCCGAAATAGAATTATGGATCATTAGAAGAAAAAATTATAACATGTATGAATAATAGATGATATCCATGTTAAAAACCATCATGCATATGTTGCAGAAAGTTGACACATGAATCAAGTGCTACATAGAGACAGTAAGGCAATGTCTTCAAAAAAACGGCTTTAAAATAAAAACGAGCGATAAACGCCAAGTGACTATGGAATCTGCTTGTCTACAAATATCTAGGACAAACTCATTATTTAAAATAAGGCAAAACTTACACAAAAGATTTAGATTATGTATATTCATTTCATTGTTTAATTTAACGTAATTTCTGATTTTTTTAAATTTGTTACTGTGTAAAAGGTTTAATAAAAATAATTGTTTCAATCATATGCATTTTGTTTGCAAAAATTATCTGCTACTAATACATGTAATGTTCACTGGTAATTAAGACTTTTTGAATAATGTTTGAATTTACAAGTTTTTGCAACATTTTTTCATTTTATGCACGTCTGTAAAAAATACGTTTATTTCGAAAACGGTGTACTTTTTCGATTTAAAACAAGAATACCTTTTTTGTGTAGAATTGAATGTTATTTCATGTTTATACAGGGCGGACAAAAAAATTATGGCCATATTAATGAACCAATGTTATTGCAGGTGGCGCCACCTAGTGTCAATGGTAAAACTAATATCATTTTTATATTAAGCATACTAAATAATGGCAAGATATCAAATTTCACTTAAATCGGTTAAATAGTTTTTAACATATCCCTAAAAATAATATAAAAAAATATTAATGAATCACCCTGTAAAACGAAAACTACCAACATTTTGCCTTTTTGTAAAGCAATTTGAGCTCAAACGCTTTATTTGGATGTCAACTAACACCCATTAATTATGGGACACCCTGTATACGACGCGACGGTGGAAAACCACGAAATCGGTGGAACGACAACTTACTGGATGCACAGGAAAAACCGTCGGTCATGTCTACCCAAAAAAAAGGAAGAGAAAAATATTTTTAATGTTAAAATCTTAAAAAAGTACAAACATGTAAACTGTACTGTTTTATTTTCAATTTTAAATAACTTTTTATTCACAAATAGATAAAAACTGCTGCCTATAAGTTTTCTTTATAGATTTATAGATTTATTAAAAATAACTGTAGAGTTAAGTACTTTATTTTAAATAGATTAATATAGGTTAATACTCGCATTAGTTACCATTACCGTGCGTATAAAATATATTTCATTAAAATAACCAATAATGCCTCGCTTTATATTCTCGCTAAAAGGAATTCACCACGTTTTATTTGCTATTATCTTTTTATGTCTAGTGTTTATGACTGACACAATAAATGGTTATTGAACTATAATAAAACGATTACATGTTTTGACTAAATAATCAAAATATAAATTTAAAATTCAATTTAAAATTTTAGCATGTAACAATAAAACACTGAAAACTTTGTTTTCAAACTTCCACAAATTTTATTTTAAATCTTATCACTACAGCTGTTTCGGCTGATTGCCTTTCTCAAGTGATCTATTTTTGGCTTGGGTTTACAAATTTATAGTCTCTAATGAAATAAGTTGAGGAGGGGAGAACTGTTTGTCTCAAGTTGGTCATTCAGAATTATATCTGTGTTTTTTAATTTGTTGATTTCCATAGATTCTAACAAAGATAGCTTAAGGCCTTTATTTTGAATGTGAAGAATTTTAAATTTGTCATTAAAAGAATGATTATGATCTAGAAGGTGAAGTGCGTATGTCGAATCTGTTTTTCTATTCTTGAAAGCCTTTTATGTTCTGCTATTCATTTATCAAAGTTTCTACCAGTTTGATCGATGTAAGTTTTTGGGCAGTCGCCACATTGAAGTTTGTACACACCACTATTTATGTGTTTTTTATTTTGGCTCTTCTTATTTTTAATATATTTGCCTAGGTTGTTATTTGTTCGGAAAGCTGGTGTTATTCCTTTCTTTTTTATGTGCTAAAAGGAATTCACCACGTTTTATTTGCTATTATCTTTTTATGTCTAGTGTTTATGACTGACACAATAAATGGTTATTGAACTATAATAAAACGATTACATGTTTTGACTAAATAATCAAAATATAAATTTAAAATTCAATTTAAAATTTTAGCATGTAACAATAAAACACTGAAAACTTTGTTTTCAAACTTCCACAAATTTTATTTTAAATCTTATCACTACAGCTGTTTCGGCTGATTGCCTTTCTCAAGTGATCTATTTTTGGCTTGGGTTTACAAATTTATAGTCTCTAATGAAATAAGTTGAGGAGGGGAGAACTGTTTGTCTCAAGTTGGTCATTCAGAATTATATCTGTGTTTTTTAATTTGTTGATTTCCATAGATTCTAACAAAGATAGCTTAAGGCCTTTATTTTGAATGTGAAGAATTTTAAATTTGTCATTAAAAGAATGATTATGATCTAGAAGGTGAAGTGCGTATGTCGAATCTGTTTTGCTATTCTTGAAAGCCTTTTATGTTCTGCTATTCATTTATCAAAGTTTCTACCAGTTTGATCGATGTAAGTTTTTGGGCAGTCGCCACATTGAAGTTTGTACACACCACTATTTATGTGTTTTTTATTTTGGCTCTTCTTATTTTTAATATATTTGCCTAGGTTGTTATTTGTTCGGAAAGCTGGTGTTATTCCTTTCTTTTTTATGTGTTTGGCAATTTTTGTTGTTATTTTGCCTGTATATGTAATCGAGCAGAAGGTATTGGGTTGTTTCTCTGGTGGTGGAAATACTAATTTCAGGGCTTTCTTGTGTAGTTTTTGATTTAACATTTTATTAATTGTTTCTTCGTTGTATCCGTTGTTTACTGCTATTTGCTTAATTATATTTAATTCTGTCTCAAAGTTGTATTTTGACATCGGAATTTCTGTTAATCTATGTAACATACTATGATAAGCTGCCAGTTTATGTTGTGTTGGATGGGATGATGAATTGTGTATAGTCGTGTCAGTATGGGTAGGTTTATGAAATTTGGAGAAGTCATGTTTGTTTTGAAGTCTGCTATTTTTTAAATCTAAAAAATTTATGGATTGATTTTGTTCTCTTTCTATTCTGTATTGATTTTGTCCTTTAAATTCAATCCGCTAGCAAAGATAGGAGAACTACAACAAAAGATAATAACTTGTCTTCAACAGCTTTAGCAGAGCAACCACTCTTTAAAAATATGTTAGATGGTCTGCAAAATCGTTATAAGGCTTATTTGCACTGCAATGGTGCAAATTTTGAGTATTTAAATTGGGTAAATTAAAAAATAAGTGCAATGTTCACTTTCGGTAGTGTTTCTACACTTATTTTGACATTATCTCTAATATTATATAACAACCTTTACAGAAATGAAGATTTTTAAAAGATTTAAAAGAAATATATTTAAAAAAATTAAAAGTTTAACGACTTCGTGCAAATTCTCGCTCAGCTTATTCGTTTTGCACAAGCAAAATAAAAGTAGAACGTTCGGTATGTTTGAATTACCCCAATACCCTCGAAAGCATGATCTCGATTTATTTCCAAAGGATGGCAATTAAAGCGGATCCAGGAAAGATGACAAGGAAAACCTTTTACTTCTTATTTGTTTTGGATTCTAGAAGTAGAAATAACACTTGAATGTTTAATTGAAGTTTCATTTGATTCAAGGTAAATGTAATTAAAAGATACAGTTCATTATTGATATTAAGCAAATAACTAGCAAATATTATTAAGTAACATGCTTAAAATCTACATAAAATTTAAATTAATGTAATATGATTTTTAGTTATATGAAGTAGAAAAAGTTGTTTAACCCCGCTGTCCTGTTCGGGTATATTTTACCCAAAAAAAATTTATTTCTTATTTTGCAAATTATTACGCGACGTAACGTTCTGTGGTGTTTTTATAGATTTTAATAGACTTAATTTTTGTCCAGCTTTCTTCGGCTCCATCACTTTCTGTAATATATGTTTCTGCTCGTTTCTGTTAGTCTTTTTTGGAATATATATCTTGTGGAATCGTCCTATAAGCTTTCAACTTTTATATTTGTAGTGTATTCTGGTGTTTTGCTATTATATATAAATGTGTTTTAACTTGTATACAAAATAAAACAAAAACAACAAATTGCATTTTTTTAGTACGTGATTAATGTTTCTTAAACACTATGTATACCAGTGAGTGCGATCTTTTTTTCAGGAAGATAAAGGCGTCTAATTCTCACAAAAGCATGTTTAATTCAAAAATTTAACATTTTCAGCCATGATGCATTAAACATGAACGAGGGAAAACACTCAGCTAAGATAGCCGCTGTCTGGATATAGTGTAGATATATTGGGAAAATAAAATGCTTTGTCTTATATGCTCAAAGGATTTACATAGAAAGTTGTACAAAAAAAGAACCGAAAAAACTATATCGTAGAGGAACATATAAACAACCTTAAATTTTGAGTAAAATTAATGTATGAAATTAAAAAAAAAACATATTAGACCATTTGTGAGTGTTTTACATGTTTGTAAATTTGGTTTTCACTAACTTACGATGAACAGTAATTAAGAACTTTGAAAATAGACGTATTATTGCTAAATATTCATCCATCATACTACCCAGCGGTCCGTCTTTATTAACCAATACTTTCCAAAAAGTAAATATACACAAATATCGATATTTTTACTATACACAGTACAATATACTACGCAAATAGAGATTTTCAGCATGTTTTTGGTCAAATCATATTTCTCACTAAGATAAAAGTAACACTTACCGGTAAGGGTCTTGCAATTCTTCCGTGACAAAATTAAGGAAATTCCATCCTCCAAAGGCGAATAAGCCTGAGTAGAAACTTAAAGCTATATGTGAGAGATCATATTTTCCATCGAACGCATTATGAAAATTTTCTGTGTGCCCTAAAATAAATAATCACATTATATCACACTACGGTTTTGAAAGAAAAAAATATCTTTAATTATAATTTTATTATAATATAATTAACTATAATAATTTTTTCCATTCTTTGTGTCACCTAAAACTTTAATTCAGATGTGATCAGCGAATTTTACCAAAGAATATTCCAGGTGATATTGACGACGAGATTAAATGGAACACATAAATCACTAGAGGTGTAGCTAAAGAACAAATAATTCGATTTAAATAGTAAAACTAATGTCAAACACTCTTTATTAATTTGCCGTTTCAAAAATGTGGTGTCCACTATAGTATTGAATGTTCACACTACAGGGGTGGCGAAGATCTAATACTGTAGATTTTTTGAAATATTGGCTTCAGAATCTACGTCGAGCCACAATCTTAATATTAACTTTTTCTTAATATTATTATCTTCATGCCAAGGTAGAATCCAGGTCCCTAAACCACCAAGGATCAATCAATCGCGTTTTTACCTTGTTTTAAGCTCTATGCTTCTTCAAGGATGGGTTTGTTTATTTGGGTGCTTATGCTTGTTTGGTTTGAATGCCAGTCTTCGCTCGTACGACCTCGGATTCCCAAGACTAGGGGCGCCGCCGCTAAAGAAGTGTTTCGGAAGAGGGATAGGGAAGGATATAGAGAACAAGAAGAAGGAAAGAGGTGGAAAACCGGATCTTCCGGAAGAGTTAGTCTAGTGAACCAAGCCTATCACGAAGTACAAGTTCCGTGGAAAAAACGATTACTTTCAGATTGTTGGCCATTTTTGTTTGTTGGAAAACGCGTGGAGGATAGCTGTGGCTATATCCTTACCTAGGATCAGGTATCATTGTGCAATGAGATTGGGAAACTACAGAAAACCAATCCCCCCTGTCCTTGTGATTGTTTAATCGACTCTTAAGGAGTGTGTGCGGTGCTCACGGTGTAGGTGATGTGTTAGATGTTTGTGGAGCTTTTGTGTGTTTACTGGTTGGAATTGTGTGTTTACAGGTTGGATTGTGGTGTGGGATTTAGGTGTTTATTAATTAGGATTGTGAGCGGAGTGGAGGTAAAGTGTGTATAGGGTGGATGTTGTGTTGGGTGCATGTGTGTGTGATAAAAATTGGTCGAGTTGCATGTTAGTTACTGTAAAACATACCAGTACGTCGACTACGTATCTACACCAATATAAAAACTGTTTGAATATGGGATGTTTTAAAATCTTTGTCTCTAGATGATCCATAAAAATATCTGATAGCAATGGGCTTAGAGGATTTCCCATTATTAAGTCCTGCACTGTTATTTGTGTATATTTGATAATTAAATTCAAAGTAGTCCTGGTTTATGCAAACTTCAGTTCCTACAGAAACTTTTATTCTAGTAAAAAACCTTTTAGACTAAAATAGTACAAATCCAATCATTACATCTAAAATTTTACATCTTCTTGAAGTTTTAATTCTGCTCGATTACATATACAGGCAAAATATCAACAAAAATAGCCAAACACATAAAAAGAAAGGAATAACACCAGCTTTCACAACAAATAACAACTTAAGCCAATATATTAAAAACAACAAGAGCCAAATAAAAAACACTTACACAGTGGTGTGTACAAACTTAAATGTGGCGACTGCCCAAAAACGTACATCGGTCAAACTGGTAGAAATTTTAATAAACAAATAGCAGAACATAAAAGGGCTTTCAATAATAGAAAAACATATTCTACATAGGCACTTCACCTTCTAGGTCATAATCATTCTTTTAATGACGAATTTAAAATTCTTCACATTCAAAATAAAGGCCTTAAGCTATCTTTGTTAGAATCTATGGAAATCAACAAATTAAAAAACACAGATATAATTCTGAATGACCAACTTAAGACAAACAATTCTCCCCTCCTCAACCTATTTCATTAAAGATTATAAAGTGTAAACGCATGCCAAAAATAGATCACTTGAGAAAAGCAATCAGCCGAAACAGCTGTAATGATAAAAGTTAAAAATAATTTTTGTGGAAATTTGAAAACAAAGTTTTCATCGTTTTATTGTTACATAAAACAAAATTTGTTTAATTTACTAATGTTTGTATTTTGAGAACGATTTCCGAAGTGGAAATTGAAACGTCAATAAGCTTACTTTAACCTTTAATTTGGGCTTATTCCCATTTAAATAGTAATTACTTTTGAGCATGTCTCGTGCGAGGTCCTACGGCTCCAATAGTGACAAAATCCAAAACAGCTTCTTTGCAAAGATGCCTGCAAATGCCCCTTTCATACCATGATCTATTCTTCTAGGAACTCTACAATGTGTATGATGTGTTTTTAGATGTGTAGGTGGGTAAATGTTTGATTTATGAGGTTATTTGTGCATGAAGTGGCTATGGCACTCCATACATTGCATTGGATATTTGGTTCAGGAATAGGATTATTGCCCTACTTTTTTCAGGGAAGACGTTGAATAGGAGCATGGATGTGAAATGGATTAGGGATTTCATATCGGAGGATAGGTCGTAGGAAGGGATTTGTTTCTCTGTATATACTTGTTGGGTTTGGTTGTAGTTAGCGGGATGAGCGCTACGGTGAGGACATCGTGGTGAGAATGCGGGGTGAGGACCGTTGCAGTTAGGACATTTGGGAACACATATCGTGGGGCAGGCAGAGGACCGGTGGCTGAGCCGCAGTACGGGCAAATGATTGATTTTTCGGGGCATTCTGTGTTGAAATGTCCGCTTTTGCAGGTTTTCGAGCAATATTTCGATCGTATGGGTACGGAATTGCCTGATCGTGGTATTTCACAGGCCAACCGTTCACCCTCGATTAAAATACCGCTCGAGAGCGCTTCAGCGAACTTTATTTACACACGGCCTACTGGTAGTTTTGGAAAGAATCTTAAAAAAAAATTATTCCAGCCACAAAAACTTCTTCTATTGTTCTGAAGCTATTTTCTTGTGGCATTGTAAATTAATTACTTAATTAAAAATTAAGTAATTAAAACTTCTTCTAGTTCCATGACCGTTACCAATCTTTGGATATCATAATTGGCTGCCATATTCGCTAATGTGATTTTATTGACAGCAGCTCTAAATAATGATGTTGTCGATTTTCCGTAGATCTTTCAGCCATGATGTTCTTCTTCTGTCAGAACCTCGTTTACCTTGGATCTTTCCCTGAATGATCAGATGCAAAAGTTCATATTGTTCAAGGTGTCTCATCATGTGACTTTTATACTTTTTCATACTTTTTAAATTTAAGATTTTCTTTTTGTTTTGTTTTTTTATTGCAGAGGCATTTGCCGTTCAGCCAGTCATAACTTTTTTAAGTTCTTCCCAAAGGAAAGAAAAGAAAATAATTATCACATTGCATGTTTGATCAAGGTACGAAAAATTTAATACTTCGGCCATATTCTGAGAGGGAAAAAATACGCAATCCCTCAACTAATCATCCAAGGAAAGATTGAAGGCAAGAGAGGAATAGGTCGCAAACAAATGTCGTTGCTACGGAACATAAAAAACTGACGACTTTTCGAAATAAATTCTGTTAAGTAGTTATATACAATTTTGTTATTTAATGACAAAAGGTAACAAATGTCATAGGGTGGAAGGACTGTATGTTCGATGAAATTTTTTATTACGTCTTCAGTTTGTTGTATATATTTTGTACATTCAAAGAAAATGTGGTTTAAATCTGCTTTTTTTGACAAACATCACATAAATTGGAATTCACAATTTTAAGTTTTGCCAGATGAGCCGGATAACATGCGTGTCCTGATTTCATTCTGATAATAAGTGTACTGTTTCTGCGTGAAAAAAAGTAATTTTTAAACCAAAATTCACTCGGGATTGAGGGTTGTATGAGTGCATATTGTGAGTTAAAGTGTTGACTATATTCATAATATTCTTGTTTGCACTGATTGAAATTTAAAACTTAAAAAGCAAAATATATTATTAGTTCAGCCCTATCGCACATAAATAACTTGCAAATAAAAACAAACATCGCCAAGACTTTGGATAGACAATATACTAAGTTTAGTATTATATTATTATCTGCATTATAATATAATGTGATTCAAAGGACACATACTATAGATATTTTACAACGAAATCTATTACGATAAACGCTGATAAAGAATAGTGTCACTCAATCTTTTTAGGGAGATGGACTGAGATAGCTGGATCCCGGACATTTACCATAATCCGACAAGATTAAACCACTACGCTGATTATAAAGATGATAAAAAATTGTATGTATATTAATATAAATAGTTGGTATATTGTTATCTTCAAAAACACTTTACCTAACAACACAATTTGAAATTGTGTATGACCCTTAACCTTAGATTAAGAAACTATTTGGCTATTTGTTCATTTTTATGATTATATTATGAAATTTCTTATTACAATATTATAACATATATAACATAATATAAAGACCTTGTAAAGTGAAAAAGTAAAGCAATTAAAAAAAGCGGGGAGCATGGATGTTCATACCTGCATTTATATTACATTAAAATCTCTCATAACATATAAATTAAGAATGTTCCCTGATAAATAATTATGTAAAGGAGGAGGAGAAGAAAAACATCAACTCACTTTGGAAAAAAAACTGACCACAGACAAAACTATCACTTATAACACTCTTGGTCAACATCAGCCTATCTTCCATATACAGGGTGGTCCTTAAGTAATTGTACAAAAAGACATCGTAGATTCTACACTTTAAAATATTAGGATTTAAGTCAAGTTGCTTTAATAAAATGTTAATATTAAGAAAGATACAGGGTGTTAAAGTGGAAATTTAAAATTTTATTTTTTGCTATAACTTTTATGTTTGTCAACATTTATGTATAAAAATTTACAACTAAGTAGTATTAAATATCAGAAATTTTAATTTGATGTATACTTTGATGTATCTGATAGAGGGCGCCACATATGCCACATACGTGGCATATATTTGCACTTAACTTTTTTGCTCCTCAAGTTATGGGTATTTTTATTAAAAAATATTAAAGAT